GCAATTTTGGTACATAATTATGCCGCATCAAGTTTTTTGTTATTCATGAGTTTGAATTAAATAATAAAATGTAGGGTAATGTGTGCCCTTGAAATAAATGACAATGTATGTGGGCTTGCTGAATAAAATAGGGATAGCCAACATAGTCAAATGTTGATACCCTACTAACTACATCCTCCGTTTGCAACATTTGCACCAATCGTTGGTGCTGAACTTTGCAACGTTTTTGTTAGATGTAAAAAAAAAAAAAAATTCGTTGTTAAATATATACCCTTATTTTTGTAGTGGATATAAATAAGAAGACAATAAAGCTCCTCTAATTTTACAGGAGACACTTTTGGAGGCCTTGCGGCAAAAGCTTATAAAAGTTTCTAGGATCATTTGAGTCTCCCTACAGTTTTAGGTGTGTAAGAAAAGTTTGGGGGTTTACTGGGAAAACAAAGTTTGAGGAAATTTTGTCGGGACACCCCAAAGCTCTGGGGGCTTTCTGAAAGTTAATCTAAAAACAATTAAGAATAGGTCATATAGCTAGATTGGTCCCGTGAGAGGAGCAACCTTTCGGCGTGAGAGGGACTTGAATTGTATCCAGGGACAGTTTGGGCTTGGATTAGAAAGTACGAGAGCAACACGTTTATTTTCACTTATAATTGAAGAGACGTAAATGATCCTGAAAACGGTGCAAGTTGATGCTAACTTATTAATGTTGGCTCAACTCCAGGTGTTAATTAAAAAGATGTCTAATATTACTGACACGTAAAGGGTGTAGATAATTGTTTGGATCGATATAATCCTTCATAGATCAAGCAAAAGAAAAATTAAGCACAAAGCGCACAACCCAACACGCAAGTTCTCTCCATTTTCTGCCTGACTTCGCAACATATAATATAAGAAAAATTCCATTTTAATGATGGTCAACTCATTATCCAATAGGAGGGGGACACCTCACTTGTCCTCCTTATTGGTCCTATTTTTTCGGTCCCTGTAATGATGGTCAACTCATTATCCAATAGAAGGGGGACACCTCACTTGTCCCCCCTATTGGTCCCATATTTTCGGTCCCTGTAGCAAAGCTCATAATATAATTACTCAAGAGTTAAATTATCGCCAAACACTTTATCGGCTATGCAAAGTCAACGCTGGCGGTTGACAAAGTCGACCTATCGCGTCCACACAAATATCATATATTGACTTATCACGTAACATCAAGTATGAACAAACCTACTACAAAACACTCTATTTATGGTAACCTGAACTAATTCTAACACTAGGTATAAGAACTTAGCTTATTCTACATTTAGTGTAACGATTACGGTATTATCATTTGTAAATCGCTAGCTTGAGTATTGAAGGGATTGTGAACATGCTCCGCCCTCGGCCTCCTGATGAATTTTTCTCGTGAGCCCGGATCGTTTGATGACCATCGAAACAACATATAGGCAGCCTTCTACAAGCTAAACCGACTTCTCGAAGGAAATCACTAGTTCCTAATTTATAGTTTTCTCAACAACCTATTCAAGCTCTGTTATTTGAATCTTACCACGTATAAGTAAGAAGATACTTGACAGCCACATCATTTTTTTATTGACGAAAATAATAAACTACAATAATCCAAGATTGATGTAGGACGCTTAACGGACAATTTCATGGAGGATTTGGACAATCACGAGCTCAATACAGATTTATACGTATTATTAACTTCCGTAAAGAAACAATCAATCTTCCAACCTAGAAGGTGGATTCTGACATATTATATATGTAAATCGCCTATCTCGACGAGCCAAAACCAACCAGATTGTCAGATTATTAAAATATCACCAATAGTACCCAGTTTTGGCTGAAATCCAAAAATAATTAGCTTTTAATTTATTTTTAGTCATAAAGTTGGAGTCTATTTAGATTAGGAAATAAATTCAATATTAGAGTCAAATTAGATTAGGAAACAAATTCAATTTTGATTCATGATTTGTTTCCTCTATTATAGGGAGTTTTTTTAGGATAAAATTTGATACTTTCTATTTTTTTGTTATTTTAGTCTTACTAGGAGTCTTATTTATTTTTCTATTTAAGAAGTGTCATGTAATCCCAAAGAAAAATAACTTTTCATCAATAAATTTTTTTTAATATTTTCTTTGTGGATTCGAAGTTCTTTGTGAATTTGGAGATCGTTCTTTGTGGATTCAGAGAATACCCCTTGGTGGATTCCGAGATTATCATTTTTGCGCTGTGTCAATGATGGTTTTGTATGGTTTAGGCATGCCCTTATGTTCTTTTAAAGCACATTCCAAACTGAACAAGAGGATAAATAGTTTTGCAAATTCTAAAACTTGGTTAGTTAAAATTTTATGAGATGAACAAACTCATCATTTAAGATCAATCAATCTTCTGCATGTTATAGCCTAATTAATCGTGATTAGAATGGAGAAACCTTTCTGCATTTGATGCCGTGGACCGAGTTCTTTTGGTCTTTTAGGGGGGAAAAGGGGTGAATGACAACACCTAAATACTTGTTGTTTCACTACTTTTATACTTAAATATCTTAAATTATAAAAAGTAGCACTTTAATTTCATAAGTTGTAAAAAAAGGCACTTAAATATCTTTAAGTTGTAAAAAATTAGCACGTTATTGCCTTCTGTTAGTTGCATGTGAAAAATATTCCTAAAAATATTCCAATGTGATTAGCACATAGCATTTTTATAATTGTATTTACCATATTTATTGTCATATTTACCATTATATCTATTCTCTATTTTTTTATTAATTTCTACGAAAGTGTATTATTGTTAAACAGAATTATTTAACGATGTTTAACATATTCCAAGGGAGAACAACTCAGAATATTAAAATGTTGCATTTTATAATTTAAGATTAAGATATTTGTTAGGGCCTGTTTGGTTATTTCCAAAAAAAAAATAGGAAATAGAAAACTCCCTCTTGAAATGATTTCAGCACATTTTAAGAGTTTTCTCAGTTTTATTTTATTTTATTTGTTTCGCAAAGAAAACTCCACATTTCACTGCCAAGTCACATAAACAGACAAAAAAAACCTTCATAGTAACAGTGTCTTGATTTCTATTTCTTATATTTGTTTGAGCACAAGAAAAAGAAAATAAGAAACCACGGTATTAAATATTATGTTTTATTCTTCTTCACTATTCCAACAGTGCTTTTACTAATTAATAATTCAAAGAAGTGATATTTCCCAGTGTTTTCAGAGGTTTTTGTTATGAAAACACATTTCTTAAAATTGTGATGTGGCATCCTACGTGACACTTCATTTTTTAAATTTTAAAAACGAAACAAACATGAGAAATGAAAAACTCTTAAAAACAAAAACCCATATGGCACTTGTTCATTTCTTGAAAGTTGAGGTGGCAACACATTTCCGATTTTTTTTGATCAAACAAACGGACCCTGGGGAAAACAATAAGGTGCTTGGGTCTTATTTAGCTGAAAAAGAAAGGAAAAAAATCTTGCAAGATGGCCGTACGAGCACAAAATTTCGCCATGATGCCCACGGATCGGAATGTCACCTCCCCATACAACCAGATGACGCGTTATGCTCTAACAAGCCACTGACTGTGGGACCCACTTCAACACCACCGAAAGCTGCCCCAGCCTGATCACTTCCTCTACCGTCAGAATATAATAATAATATTCTTTTCCTTACTTGTTTTTTAAAAGCACAATTGCACTTAGATACTTTAAAGTTTCACTCAGCTTTGTATTTAGACACCCCTGCTTTTTTTGGCATTTACATACTCCATTGTATTTAAAATTGACATATCAATATTCTTTATTTTGCAAATGTAAAGTTTTCATGTGAATAGGAATCAATTAGCATGAGAGTGCCATATTAAAATATTCAGATAATTTTTTTTCATATTTACATAATAGAAGATACTAATATGCTAAGGGGGTGTTTGGTTCAATTTCTACAAATTATAGGAAATATTTTCTACCTAAAATATGATTACCTTGCATTTCTTAAAAAAATATAGGAAAATTTTGAGAAGTCAAAAAGTATCAACTTTTTTTTTTACTTTGCTTGTTTGGTTCAAAACAAGAAAATGACCCATAACTTTATAGAAAATAGCAAGAAAAACAAGAAAATGACCCATAACTTTATAGAAAATAGCAAGATTTTCTATAATTTGTAGAAATTGAACCAAACACCCCCTAAATTGAAAATAGCAAGATTTTCTATAATTTGTAGAAATTGAACCAAACACCCCCTAAATTTATAGAAAAATGTTAACTTTATAAAAAATATCAATGTGGTGTCAGATTTCTAGGTGATTCCCCCCAATGTTACATTACACGCTGGGCGCTTTTAGGCGTCGGACTTGACGCCCAGCGCTTAGTCGCCTAGGCGAACGCCTAAGCGGTTTTTAGGCGTTTTTTTTCTTTCTTCATTTAAGTGGTGGTCGATGAGGTTTTGCTGAAGGTCTGAGGAGGTAGTGGAGGTGTTCATATCTGGAGGTTAATAGAGTTTGGAGGACGTGTAGGCTATGACACATAAAATCATAATCAAGACCTATAGGGTGCAATCCACGTAAACAGACAATGCTCCCCTAAACGCTCGTAAAATTTAGGTGGGCAGCCTAAATACCGCCTAGGCGCTAGACGCTAGTTAGACGGCCTACGTACCGCCTAGGCCTAGACGTACGCCTAAGCGGACTAGGCGGAGGTTTTTAAAAACAGTGTTTCCGCCCATTTTGAGAGGAAATTGAATTCTGTAAATTTTGGTACTTTTTTGTACTTTACAGAAAACATTTATGTAATTTTTTTTGAACCAAACACAGTTTACGAAAATCTACAGAAAATTTTTAATTATAGAATTACCATTATCAGATATTTTAAGAATTTTTTTTTATAAAATTGTGCAACCAAACACCCCTAAATTTAAATAATTTAAGACGTATAGATGCCATAAAATACAAGCCAGGGTATATATATGCCAAGCGCGTGAAACTATAAGGTATTTAGCTGATACTTAGCCCGTATTCTTCTCTTGTTTCTTCTTCTACAAAACTTTTCTCCACTTCTTATTATTTCATTCGCCAGCCACTCAGAGCTAGGAGAAAGCCCCTTTTCACTGGATTTGAATTTTTGAGGAGAAAAGGTAACCTTTTCCCCATTTTTTGTTGCACTTCTCCACCCGTGTATAATATATTGATTTTTGATCTTCAGATCTGTTGTTGGTTTCAAAATTATTTTGAGATCTATTGATGGGTAGTAGATCCCATGTAGGTCATCTCAATGAAAGCTTCGCTGATCCAAGATTTAATTTCGAAGTAAAAGGAAAAGGAGTTGCCAATTAAATTAGTTTGGGGGGATCATGGTGGGAGACTATGCAGATTGTAGGTGATGATATTTAATGAAGGTTGATAGGGATCTAATGGAAGCGATTCACGATGAGAATGATTGGTGGAGTTGATTTAGGAATAATTAGAAATCGATCGATATTGTTTGGTTGCTTTTACTAATGATTTTACATTTTTTTTTTAGTTGTGCCATGTGTAAACGTTGATATTAATTTTACGTGCTTGGTGGAAAGTAATCAATGTTATTTTCTTGTTAGGCATCAATAATATTTAGCACGCGGTGTTTTTGTTAGCGTAAACAATGCTAAGAAATATGCATGCTTGATAGAAAGTGCCGGACATCTTAGAAACTTAATGGATATCCTTTGGTCGTATTAGAGCATGTTTGGCAAGTGGTCAAAATGGAATATAAGCCACTTTGACATGTTTGGCAAATGGCTTGTTTTGGATTATAAGCCACCAAAAAATAAGCTGGGGTATCCTAGCTTATTTTTTTGTGGCTTATAAGCCACATGATTTGACCAAGTAAAAGCGCAATATACCCTTATATTTCACAAAATTCCAAGCGCCATTTATGTCTCTCCAACCCCATTAAGTGCTTTGTGGTCATTTTGACAATAATGATGGCTTATAAGCCACCCATTTGCCATACTACTATTGAAAATGACCACAAAGCACTTAATGGGGTTGGATAAAGACAAATACTTGAGCACTCCATGCGCAATATACCCTTCGTATATCTTACTCGAGTCAAACGTAGATTGTTACTTGTTTGGTTGATTATAAATTTTCATTGGTGGTTATCAGAATTTTACCTCGTTTTTGATTCTATCACCCAACAAACTTTTTTCTCCCCTTGCTCATCTTTTATCACCCTTAGGTTTTGACTCAAAAAATTTCAGCATGATCTCCCAAATTTAAGGAATCATTTCTTTCATTCATGCGAGTTTGAGTACCTTGCAAGCGCATTAGCTTTACCTATTTCATTTTGTAGAAATAGAGGTGCTAAGTCAGTAAGTCGTGTAGTAGGAAATGTTGTGAAACTTAGCAGTGAAACACGGTAAATGTCAATGTGAGGGTTTTAAAGGCTTATGGTGTTTTACTTATCCCAGTCGATTTTCCCAATGGTGGGGAGCCACTTCTTTGCTTATATTTGGTCTTTGGTCTTTTCTTATATTACACTGATTTTTTTTTATAATTCCATCCTTCTTTATGTTGCTTCCTAATTTGTTTGATTGATTTTGAAGTTCCATTACTGGTTATCAGAGCCTTAGCTCGCTTTTCATCCCATCACTCAAACAAATTTTTCTCCCATTGTTCGTGTTTTATCATCTTTTGGTTCAACTCAAAAGAATTTTAACATGAAATCTCAAGTTTACAAAATCTTGTCTTCCGTTTTGTTAGTTTTGGTAGTTAGTTAATGTAAACCAGTTCCTTTCTTTAACCATTTGTTAATAACTATTTTGAGCAAGTTTTATTTTAATTTTTTCTCCTCTTTTAGATTTTTTAGTCATTCCAATCCTAGATTTAGGGGTTTGTACGTGAAAATTGCTTTGATTGATGTAATTGATCTAGGAAAGCGCTGAATGATGCTAGAATGTGATTCTCCAGCTGATGGACTAGATTTTGTGTAGGCATAAGGATTAGGTTATTACACCTAAGAGAAATCTAATACTGAAGAGAAATTAGGAAAATATGTCAAAGAGACTTACAAGGAATTTAGATTGAGGCTTTCATCCTTCTACCTGTATGCTTGTTCTGGTTGTGTCATGAATACGATTTGAGCATTTATGTTCACGCCTTCATGGAAAGGATCGTGTCTAGCAAAGGCAAGTTAAGTGATTAGTCCCACATCAATGGTTAATGGATGGACTAACGTACCATGGTTAAATGTTTAGCACTGCAAGGAGGTTACTAACTGTGTATCTGGTAATTGATTACTGTTGTGGCCAGTTCAGACTGCAGATCATGTTTCCCATGATTCAAGGTTCTTAAGTTTGAGCTTGGAGTGGTTTTATGTAGCTCCATGTCATGGTAAAATCTTACATACTCTGTCATGCTGTTGTGCACTGAAGTCAATAGTTGTATGTCTTTTATAATTGGTGGCGGTTGCAGCTTGTTCAGTTTGAAGTTGGTGTTGCAATGACTTACCATGGTATGTGTTAAGGATCACAGTTCAAGGTGGAGATTGTGTTTGATCACCAAGGTTCAGACTAGGTATCAAGTGGTATATACAAGTTGAGGTGGACGTGGGAAGAGATCAGTCGTCAGGTGGTTCACGGTTCTCATATGTTCCGTATCTAACCTTCCTATGTTCCGCCTTTTTTTATATCCTAGTCGTCGCCTTGGCATATTTATAGTTCCATTTAGTATCACAAGTCTCGTCTCTCTTATTTTAGTAACTAGGCTAGTTTTATATTTTTCGTAAAACAAAAGGATTTAGAATCAGAAGAAGAAAAAACAAAATACATGGGATGCATTTTTAGTAAAGTTAAAAAGAGAAAGCCTATAGTGCATATTAATGGTCAAGAAATATTTAAAAGTAATCACTTAAGTAATTTAGGATCAATCATTCATTGTGATGGTGAAATTGGGATGATGTTGTCCATCGAATCAAATTAGGATGGTTAATATGGAAGAGTGTTTCGAGAGTCTTATGTGATCGTTGAATACCAATGAGATTAATGGGAAAATTTTATACGGTGGTTACAGTACCAACAATGCTTTATGCATCATATGTTAGGCAATTTAAAAACATGTGTAGAAAATGAGTTCAGTAGAAATGAGAATGTCACGATGATCTAGTGGGTATTCACTAGAAGATAGGAGAAGAAATGAGTGCATTAGTAGTAAATTAGAGGTTGCTTCTATTGAGGATAAAATGAGAGAGAATCGGCTAAGGTAGTTTGGTCATGTATAACGAAGACTTGTAAATGCCCAGTTAGGAAACATGACCGTTTTATTGTTAATGGGGTAATTTAAAAGAACTTGGTTGGAAGCAATTAAGAAGGATATATTAATGGTTAGATGACCCAGAATAGAGCGGAATGGAAGAATAAGATTCCTGTGGCCAACACGGAACATTTAGGATAAAGGTTTTTGTAGGCTAGTTTTCTATTTGTAGACCTTTAGTACCTCTTGTGAAAGGACTGATGTTCTTCGAAACAGATTACGTTGGAAATAGCCCTCACCTAGCATTTTTATCTCTTTGCTCCTGGCATTATAAGGCAAGATATTACACTTCTTTTGATTCTGGTATTTATGGATCTAACCATATATTGTGTGATTTAAAAATTCTTTGAAATGACATCGTCTTTGAAGTTGGAATTCATGATGTTGTAGGCATTTTCTGACTTGGCTGCGAGAATGCATGATCATAAATCATTTATCGTTAAATCAATCCATTCACCTTCCATATAAATTGTGAGATGTATGATAATAACATCATACTTATTTTCTGTAGCTACATCTGTAAGCTAAACTTGAGAATATCATGGAAGAAATGAAGGCTTCAGGTACCAATGAACATGTCTCTGAGGAGAGCCCTGCTCCTGTGGAGCAAAATGAGGGGGGTTCTATGCCCTCACCAGCAGAGGAGGTGATAATTCTGATGTCTCTGTCTTTTTGTAAAGACTAATATCCTACATTCTAACAATTGATGGCATTTTTTGACATATTCTTGGATATTCTAAGATCATGCAGCTTTATTGATATTATTATCTCTTTTACAGGAGCAAGCAATCAGAAAAAAGTATGGAGGAATGTTGCCCAAAAAACAGCCCCTCATATCCAAGGTAATAGCGCTAGTTCCAACACAGTCTCATCTATTCTATAGTGTCCTGAGCCTTGTTATTTGATAATGAATCTTAAAAGGTCATATATTCAGGATCATAAGCTGGACAAATGCTAACTTTATAAAGATCTCTACAGTTCTCTATGATGTTGATTATGAACATCAGCATAGATCTTAACAAACAAAGATTGCTAGTTTTTCTTGAGCATTCTTATTCAATACTCAGTCAAAAATGTTATTTTTCCAGGACCATGAGCGTGCTTTCTTCGACTCTGCTGATTGGGCTCTAGGAAAGGTACCACGATCAAGTTTATAATCTGTTTCCTCCTATACATTGTTAGCGAACTAGGAATTGTCTGAAGATTCATCTTCCAATCTATATTCTCTTTTTGCTCTATTCCTTGTAGCAAGGAGCGCAGAAGCCCAAAGGACCTCTTGAGGCACTTCGCCCAAAGCTGCAGGTATTGACTTTGTTATCTTTTGCCTTCCCTTTTCCTACTTGAATCTCTTCAGTGATAGATGCACAAATATGAAGTCTCTTATCTCAGTTTGTTTGCACCTCATGTTTAATTTTGTTAGGAATATCTTGCATCCATTTGGTTAAGAGTGGGGTTTGGTTAGCACAAGGCATGGGATTGGATTTAGTCCCACCCACATCAGAGAAAACTCAGATGGATATATGGTTAAATATGCTTCGATTCATGACTCACATAGGGTTTATCATTTTGAGTCAAACTGGGCCCAAGTAGATTCACCTAGTTCATCTGCATTAATCAGCCTTTCGGACCTAGCAAACTGGTATCAGAACTCATGGTTTGTTGGGTCTTAGGGTGCTTGTTTGCTTTGACACTCCATCACATGAGTTAATAATAATGCTCGAGATGGGGAAAGGTTGTAAAGTTACATGTCCAGTGGTGTTTAGAGACCCTTTGGGTGCAAATGTTATCACACTTGTCTGCAGCGTGATTCTGTTCATGCATGACGTTTTAGTTGAGAAGCTATCTCCAGTAGCCATCTGTACTGGGCTCGAGTCTGACTGAATCCTATGAAGGTGGAGATTTGTTATAAGTGTCTCACATCTATTCAGTTTAGGAGTGGGCTTCGTTGGCAAAAGAAACGAGATCAAATTTAGTCACATATAAGGGGGGAAACATAGTGAATAAATGGTTAAATAGCTTGGAACCGAGACTCAAATATGGTTAATCCTTGTTAGACTATCAGGCCCAAGTAGATTGGCACGGTTCATCTCTACTAATGGACCTTTTCAGCCACACAAATTTTCATTCAATGCTTTAAGTTGTTACTTTTATGTTTTAGCCCACTGCAAACCAGCAATCGAGGTCACGGCGTTCTGCTTATGCTTCTCCCAATGCTGAAGGTATGTTTGATTATATTATGTAAAGCCTCGTGTTGTTCTTACCACTTGGTGTTACTGTGATAAAAATGTTGATTTCGGTTTTGAATACAGATGGGGGGAACGCTGGCCCTGAGGACATGACCACCAGCTAAGTTATTGCGCTGGAAGTTTACGTAACCAGCTCTGGTTGTTTTTCAATGCAATAAGCAATTCCAATGTGTTGGTTGTATTCGATGTGGACCTTGGCTGTATTTGATAAGCCCATAATGTATCATTATATAGACCAATTGCTTCACTTGTGAGAACAGGTGCCCCAGTTAGTGCACTGGCTGCTCATTTCCTTGTTCTATGTTGGTTGAGACAAATACTGAATGAGCCTATGTTTACCAGGCCAAAACATTGAATGGTGTTGTGTAATGAATTTAGAACTTGCTCAAGATACATGTTTATTCATATGAGTTATTGGATAAGTAAATTTGAATTGGGATTTTATTTGGTGCATCAGCAAGCAATTTTCATGTCTTTACACAGGGGCGTGCTTTATTTTCTGGGCTTTGAAGCATACGAGCTAAAGCTGCATAGCTACATTGCATAGTAATAAAAATTTGCTCTGAATGTCAGGTATGACAGAAAAATTTGCTCTTGAAACTCCAGATGCGCTCACATTGCCTAATATTGCAAGTAATTTATTATCTGATTGCCGTGTGTCTAGTGCAGTTAAAGAGTAGACTAGTGAAACTAATGTGAGCATGTAACCTCCCTTCCATGCTCATTAAGGGCTAGAATAGATTGCACTTAAATGCCTCACAGTCTCACCAACATTGGACTCAAGTGACACCGATTTTAAAACCAAGCAAATGAATACCCCCAAAGTATTTAAATGTTGCAGAATACCCCGAAGTTAAAAAAAAAACTCAGATGGTGTTAACATTTCTCTACATATCCAAGAATACCATATAACGTAGGGTACTAAAGTGTCACTTTTACAAACTTTAGAGTATTTAAGTGAGGTTATTTATAAAATGAATGTATTTATATGTAACATTGGGTAAACAAGAGGGCGCCAGCATGCAACATTAAGGGGCTGTTTGGTAGGCTGCAACTGGAGTGGTTGCAACTCCAGTTGCATGCAACTAGGTCTAATTTGACCAGTTGCATGTGTTTGTTTTGCTGCAACTCACAGTTGCAGTTGCAACCACAGTTGCAAAACAACTCTTAGTTGCAACATATGAATTACGTCAAAAATGACCGCAAGTCATAGTTGCAACTTAGTTGCAACTGACCTAAATTTATTAAAATCAAAATCATTATTTAATATTTCAAAAATAAATTCATTAAAGGTTTAAAATAATCTTTTAAATAATTCTTATTATAATAATTTCTTCAAAAACGTTTTTTTTAAAAAAAACAACATTAATCTTTTAAAATAATTATTATTATAATAATTTCTTCAAAATAATATGTTAGTTTTTAAAGTAATATATTATCTTTAAAATAATATATTATTTTTAAAAATAACATATTTTTAAAAATAATATATATTTTTAAAATAATATATTTAAAAAATATATATTTTTTAAAAATAATATATTTTTTTTAAAAATATTATATTTTTTAAAAATAATATATTTTTAAAAATAATATATTTTTTGAATAATATATTTTTTCTAAAATAATATATTTTCCTAAAATAATATATTTTTTGAAAAATAAAATTTTCCAGGAATACTATTATTTTTCTAAAATAATATATTTTTTGAATAATATATTTTTTGAATAATATATATTTAATGTATTTTTTAATAATATATATTTAAAATAATATAAAATTTTTGAATAATATATTTAATATAATATAATTATCTAAAAATAATATATATTTAAAATAATATATTTTTTGAACAATATATTTTTAAAATAATATGTTTTTTGAATAATGTATTTTTAAAATAATATAATTTTCTAAAAATAATATATATTTTAAATGATATATTATATTATTTTTAAAAATATTATATTAACTTTTAAAAAATATATTATTTTTTAAAAATATTTATTTTTTAAAAATATTTATTTTTTAAAAATATATTATTTTTTAAAAATATTTTATGAGTTGCATATGTTAAGTTATAAGCATACTCAAACAGCTGCAATTATAAGTTGTAAAATTTAAATTTTAAACCAAACAATTGTAACTGTAGTTGCATGTAAGAAGAGTTGCAACGTCTCAGTTGCATGCAAGTGACACTTGCATTGCAACTTCAGTTGCAAACAACCAAACGCCACCTAAGTGAACAACAGGGCACCAAAGTACAACATTTTGAAAATTTGAGGTATTTATCTGCAACATTTAAATATTATGGGGCATTTATTTGCTTGGTTTTAAAACAGTGATCAATTAAGTGCAGCATTGGTGAAACGATGGGGCGTTTAAGTGCAATTTAGCCTTTAGATGTATTGTCCTAAATAAACTCGCTCGTATACATGATTTAGCATATCAACATCTTTTTTTAACACTAGGCAGGAAGCCTAAGAGATGAAACTATTTCATGATTTCTATTTGCTGAATTTATTCTTCCTTGGATTAGGACGAATTAGAGCGATTCGAGGCATAACGCATGGAATTTGGATCCTCTCCACGACCACTGCCTTACTATAACTAACGGTCGTTGATGTATTGATCCAAACGCTATTCTTCTTTTGACGTGGGACTTCTATTCATTGAACAGTTGATGCATCAAGAACAATTTGCTAGTTCAAGAAACCTTAGTGGCTTGATCAAGAGAGTAGAATCCTCATCATTAGGATGCTGATGAGGATTGCTTCGAAGTTGTGAGGGGGGAGTGAGAGGCTGTCCAGAGCCCAGCTGTGATTTAGAGCGGGCGGACTATCGCTGCCACCCTCATGAGAATCAGGGCCTTGGGCCTTTGGTGTAGACCGGGGTTTCGAGCTTTAAAGAAAATGTCTTGACGCTGTTTGCCTTTTGAACCAGTGTAAAACACACCGAATTCAAGCCTAATGTACCGATCCAATGACTCTTCCTCTTATTATATATATTAACTAATACAATAGATATATTTCGTCGGACAGTTCCTGACCAATAATAGACTAAGGATTATAAAACCAATTCAGTTATAGATTAATAGTGTGGACTATTTCAGCCTAGTAATCTCTTTCATGTGCAGTAACATTTGACTGTTTTGATCAAAATAAAATGTAAATATACCATCAGCCACAGTTTCTGAAGTGGAGTAAACGAGTCAAGCGCACTTATCCCAGAGGGCGGGAACAGAGACTCTCGGTGTACTTTCACAACAGATGAAGACCCTGTAATGATCCCCTGCCGTCATTGATGTGATCATTCCAAAGATAAAGAAAGTTTTATCAAGATCTACGCAACATCGCGGGCTTTAAAAAAAATTCAATGTAAAAGGTAAAAGAAACATTCTAATGCTCGGTACTGGTAAGTTGGGAGAGCGAAGATTCTATGGGACATGTAAGAGACGATGATGTTCAATTTTTCCTCATGCAACTCGAGCAACTTTGTGAGAGTTGATTTTGGTGGATCACACCGCACATTATTATTCACATGCATTTCCGCCTCTCATTCTCTCTGTTAGGGCTGTGCATGGTTTAGTCCAAACCGAAAAAACCGACCGAACCGGTTAAAAATTAACGATTCGGATCGGTTTTATTTGTGAGACGGTTCGGATTGATTTGAAATTTTTTCAACCCGAACCGCTCGAACCGGCCGCATCCATCACTTCACACTCTATTTTTAAGTCTTGACCCGTAACCCGTACCCGACCCGTCTCCAAATCCCTCAAAACCTAAACCCTATTTCAGTCTCCCAAGTGTCTAGCTAGCTACCCAACCAGCAGCC